TCTCATGTATAATACCATCTCATGTATAATACCATCTCATGTATAATACCATCTCATGTATAATACCATCTCATGTATAATACCATCTCATGTATAATATGATCTCATGTATAATACCATCTCATGTATAATACCATTTCATGTTTAATACGATCTCATGTATAATACCATCTCATGTATAATACCATTTCATGTATAATACGATCCCATGTATAATACCATCTCGTGTATAATACCATCTCATGTATACCATCAAATGTATAATACCATCTCATATATAATACGACCTCATGTATAATACGATCTCATGTATAATACGATCTCATGTATAATACGATCTCATGTATAATACCATCTCATGTATAATACGGTCTCATGTATAATACGACCTCATGTATACCATCTCATGTATAATACGATCTCATGTATAATACGATCTCATGTATAATACCATCTCATGTATAATACGATCTCATGTATAATACGATCTCATGTATAATACCATCTCATGTATAATGCATCTCATGTATAATGCCATCTCATGTATAATACCATCTCATGTATAATACGATCTCATGTATAATACCATCTCATGTATAATACGATCTCATGTATAATACGATCTCATGTATAATACCATCTCTGAGCCACAACCTCCGCGTGTCGGAGTGCTGACTGGGGGCAATGTACAGGACAGCTGTCACCGGGGGATCACAGCGGGAGTGCCGAGTGAAGTTGTGCAACATTTTGTCACTCAGCAGGGGGTAACAGACGTGAGACAAGAAGTATAAACCAGCCTTCAGCCTTATAAGCAGTGACTCCACATGGTGGACAAACAGGTTTAACGATGACAATCAAAACTGTTGACATGCAAAAGACGACCATGAGCCTAACAATGGATCATTAGGGCCCTGATTATCCCTGCTGTTCACAGAGGATCATGTGGATCATCACCTGACTATCGTTGGGGCCCTGATTATCACCTAGGGCTGGTGTATGACCTCAAATTCACATCTCGATATAAACTGAATCCCTTCACGGTTACGGTATATATCGCAGTAGAAAATTACCATAAAAAGCAAAGATAATGTAAATTTTAGAGCATTTATTTACCAGAAAACTGTAATCATAATGAAACTCAGTATTTTTGCTGTAGTGCAAATGAACATAGAAGTACAAAATAATGTTTTATTTATATTGTAAAATGGTTTCAACAACCAACAAAAACATTTCTCAAATTTTCAACAATATCAAAATAAAGTGGATGTTATAACCAGTACTCTAAGTGTGGTGAAACAAATAAATGTAATATCTGCCTGCCATACAATGAGCCTCTGCCTGTTGAACTTATCGGCTGCTGCTCTCAGAGCAGAACTGTTAAAGATGGATTTATGACTAACAAACGTCCACATCTTTTTAAATCATCTCTGTGGGTAACTAAACATAAAAACAAGTTTTTCTCCGACAACTTGGGTGTGAAAAAACTACGGTTGTTAAAGCTTCGCTCTGTGCGACGTGGAGGGAGGAGGAAATGTTCCTGTGACACGACGTAACTTTTCTACAGCGGCAGAGGAAATGTTGAGGATTTATTTACTCTGTAAATGTTTTAAAACACTATTTCTTCATTTATTTTCAGAATATTTCTAACTCCTCCTGCTCAGTTGTGTCTGCACCCACAGCCCTACTGACACAGGTGTGATGATGTAACTGATGACAGAGGGTCAATTTCTACCGTAGGCCAACTTTATATTGTTTCTACAGTCTGCTGTATATATCGCACAGCCCTAATATCACCTATTGATCACAGTGGGCTAAGTCATACTCTCAATTATAGCATTGTAAGTGAGGGACAACTGGACTATGAGGCTTCACCTCTGTTTAATGATGAGACAGGTTTTCTTCACAAAAATGGCTTCCATTACTCCGCTCTCAAACCAACGGTCCTCTCTACCATGTAAAAGACCAGGGTCTACCACACCACACAGGACCTAAAATGCAGTCCGAGACAGTCCATCATATAAAAGCAGGTCCAGTAACAGTAAGATTCACAGGATCACCATAACCAAGAGGCTAGAATAATAAACAGAACATCTGTGTTCAGTATGGACTGGAGGTCCCAAAGTCCAAGTGGGAGAAGCCACAAAGGGTGGTGGAGAATAGAAGAGCCAAGATACTCTGGGATTTCCAGTTCCAGACTGACCAACAGGTGATGGCTGACCAACTACACATTGTGGTGGTTGACAAACAAGAGAAGCAGGCAGTAGTGACAGATGTAGAGATCCCAAGTGACTGTAACAGGAAGGTGCACAAAAAGCTGGAGAAACACCAAGAGTTGAAAAGAAGAATCAAAGTTGTGGAGTCACAGCATCAGTAGTCCCAGTGGTCCTTAGAGCACTCTGCTGGGACTCCCAAACTGGATGAGTAGGTTCAACAGACTTCAGGAACAACTAAGATACTGAACAGAGCCCTCTGGCTCCCAGACCTTTGGTAGAAGACCACAGTCTTAAGTGAAGTGGAATGATCCAAGTAAAACAAGAGGGCGAGTTCAAAAAATATATACAGTATATAAAGATACACATGGATGGTTTCATCTCAAACTCTGGTCTTTACCAGAGGACTGGGAGCTGGAGGCTTCTGAGGACTGTTCTTCTATAAATCACCAGGTGTTCACTTTAAAACCAACCAATAAAAAAAGCACAGTAGTTCACTGCTCGTCACAAGAGCCTAATGCTACGTTCACACCAAACGTGTTTTGAGCGACCAAAAAGAGCAAAACGCCTCTGGTTGAACGCACTATGTTCAGACCGAAGAACGCACTATGTTCAGACTGAAGAACGCACTATGTTCAGACTGAAGAACGCACTAGTGTTCAGACCAGAACAAGCAGCAGCAGTGAGGTGTGGGAGGTGGAGCTCTGGTGGCGGCTGCTTCCGCAGCACCACATGTGTGGAAAATGCTCTGCGCTCCTTCTGCGCCGCGACGCACGACCCCTAGAGGCGCCTTCACCATAGACTTTGCATGTGAATCAGCCTCTCCTGTATGGCAAGCCGTTGGGGCCATAAATCGGGCGTGTATTTACGTGCAAATCCTAGCGAGCGGTGCCGTAAATAACGTGCGAACGGGCGGTGGCGTTTTCTACCCTAACCCCAACCCTAACCCCCTGCGTGTTCGCGCGTAATGCCACCGCGCATTCGCATGTTATTTACGGCACCGCGCGTTAGGATTTGCACGTAAATACACGCCCGATTTATGGCCCCAACGGCTTGCAATACTCCTGCAGCTCAAAACGCATTCGGTGTGAACGTACCATAACTCCCATGTTGATGTGTTGTATACTAACCAACCCATTTAAAAACAAAATCACCATATAACACTGAAGCTACGAGAGCTAAACAGGTTTTACCTTGTTTGTTGGGGTTTTCAGCCACCCATGCAATAGTGATGCCTCCGATCTCTGAGTCACTGAATCTGAGCAGGAAGGTGCCGTTTGGTTTAGACAGGAGCATATCCTGAGCCTGCTGCTTGTTTAAAAATCCAAGAATGGCCCTACAGTCACACACACACATTAATATTTAGCACACTTCACCCACAACCATCTGTTTCTGCTGAAATGAAACTTTAAAGTGCCAGTAGCTGTGTTTCCATTACAAATGTTCGTAAAACTTTGTTGATTTTCTAATGTTGAAAACATAGTTTCACAACTGCAGTGTTTCCATTAAGTAAGAAATGTTCTTAAAGTCACGTGAATACGTTTGTTCTCATGATAAGTCATTACAAACATGGCAGCGATGGATGTAAACACATAGCATGTTGCTACCACGACACTAGCGCTCATCATCAGAGGAGACGTCGGCGTCTTTTATCGAGGCTTTCCAGAGACAAGTCCCTACTTGGGAGCGGCTACGTATGCTGTGTTTTTGGGAAATTGTAGTCGCTGAGTTTACTATTTTATACTACTTCTGTGATATTACTACTACTTCTACTTCCTGTTATCTTCTTCATCATCGTCTTTTTCACCAGTAGAAACAGCCGGTTGTTGATCACGTGACTCCTGTGATGTGAAAAAACTGTTTCCATTACAGTTTTGTGAAAAACACCAATTTAGATACGTCTGAAAAACCAACTCATCTTAGCTCAAAAATATTTTGTCGAAAAACGTATTTTTTTTCGAGTTTCCATTGAGCAAATTTATTTTAGAAATTCTAATTTGCACATTTTCATGGTGAATGGAAACACAGCTTGTGACATCAAATTTTTGTAATAAACATGAATGAATTTTTGGAAAGATATCATTGATAACATATTACAAAACAAATTTCACGTTGCTCAGATGAACGGTTGTTGAGATATTTACATGTGAAGAAACAGGAAGTGATGTCATAGGGGAATGTCTGCATGTGAACAGTGTCGTTACAAAAGCTAACACAGGCTGTAGAGACGAACTTGATGTCTTCGGATTATTTTTTAATCGCTATCAGAGAGACAAAGAAGAGTTAGTTTAAATAATTTTGTTTTAATAAACAGAGACAGCGCGTTTATTTTATTAATGAGTTCCCCTTTGATGTCACTTCCTGTTTCACTTTGGCTGAGCAGAATACAAAAGAAAATAGGCCAATTAAGTGACAAAACGGGTAAAATCATGTGTACTATGCCAATTTTGTATAAGCTGTAAAGACCTTTGTATTTGAAGAATAGGCATGACACAGGCACTTTAAAGCTATAAACAAATGAAGTTAACACAAAAAAATGAGAAAAAATACACTTTATCTCAGTCTTTGGGAGCACAGGTGCACACTGATCTGTTTTTACTTTCCAGCTTGCTAATAAATGCAAGATAAAATAAAAGGTATGTTTGATTACCCATCATTCCAGTGAGGTTTGAGGTGTTTCTTCATCAGCTCCACCACACCATCAAACCACTGCCAGAAGGTGAAGCTGCGTCCAGGTAAGTTCTCCTGTCAGGCACACAAGCTGTGTTAGATTTATAAAGGAGGACATGAGCATGTTGACTCTGGGTGAATTACTGGCAGTGAGTATGAGGAAGTCAAGTTTAGTTGTATAATTTTAAAGTATCTCAACGTGTTTGGCTTTAGCTTTGAGCTGGTCTTACCCGATTGAACTGGGCCCACGTTATCGTCATGTTTTTGTAATCCTCAGGGTTGTTGCTGCTGTTTGAAAAAGCCTTCTGGGCCAAAAAGACCAGGTTATCCTCGGTGAGTCCTCGTCCGCTGTGCATCTCTGCCTTGTACTTCATATCCAGGGCCTCACACAGCTTAGACCACACCACCTTGTCTGGTACAACGAATGGCACTCTGCCCTTTTGGAGGATTAAAGTAACGGATAAATTAAAGTATAATCAAGTATTGTTTTGGTTAATTGCTGGGTTGCTGATGACGTATCGACGTCACAAAATGCAGACAGGGAGCAGGAAGTAAATGCAGCCCTGTTTCCTTCTGTTGTTTCAGGGTCAAAATGCCTCAATTCTGTGCCATGTACGGTTGTACGGTTGTTGCAACTGCTCCAATCAGGAGAAATAAAAAGTTTTCATGTTCTGAAAGTAGTGTCAGAAAAAAAAGATGATAAAAGTGGATCAACAATTTACGGCTAAAAACAGGAGCTGTGGAAACAGACACTGGAAGAGTTTGCAGGTAAAGATCATATCGTTTAAATCGTATTTTCAGATCGGTTATTGGACACTTACTGGAATTTGAGTTTACAGAAGATAAATAAATTATTTGCGAGTAGATCCAAGCACATACAAATAACAGGGGTTACCTATTTAGCATTAGCAATAGAATTGTTATTATAGGCTAATTATTTAAAATATCACAACTCTCTCCACACCAGGGCAGAAACAAGTCGACAGACATTTAAAGCATCTTTGGACTCTAAATGTTTGACCCAACCTGAAACTAAGTAATTGTTGCTTCGAGGCTTTTGAAAGCTTTCATCTGGCTCCTCGTATAAAACCAGGTCTGCAGCACCAGATGGTTTACATCAGTCACCTCAACACCAGGTAAATCCTCCAGATTATAAAACAAGTCTTTTTTATTTAGAAAATATGGATCATTTCCTAAATGTACGTGGATTCTTTGCGATATCTTGTCTGCACCAGCCCATTTATGGCATTAGTGTACTTGCTGTGAGCCATTTCACTGTTTTGAACCGGAGCAAATCACTTCCTGCCCCCACATCTGAATTTTGCGTGTCATCCAGGTCATGTGACAGCAACCCAGCAATACAAGCTAACTGCAACATCTTTGGGTACTTTACATTTTCAAAGTACAAAGTTTAATGCTCAGATATGAAAGTTAGACTTTTAAAAAACCAATCATCTTACCGGCTCCGCAAAGGCGTTGTCCCACAAAACCGTGGCTGTGGCATTATTGTCCTGACTGCCATGAACGATCACAACTACAGGTAGAGATAGTGTCTGCAGGTCACAGATGAAACGTTTTACAGACTCACTTATCAGTAGCATTTTAATACAGTGCTATAAGAACAGCCCATCTGTGTAACCTTGACATGGAAGACCAGCTCGTTTCCTCCAACACTGAACTGTGACTCAAACAGGATTGTAAACTTTTCCTCCGTCACGGACTCGGCACCTCGACGATCGGAGCGCTTGATCCTCTTCAGGGACTGTAAAGAGAAACCGGTGAAACAGATATACAGCTGCGTCACAGGAAATCAACTTTTCTCTAATTAAAGATGAATTATACAACCTTATAAATACTACTAGTGTTCAAAACAATGCTGTAGTATTTCAAACATTAAAATATAACCACATTTACCATGTTTCTAAAATGTGCACTGAGGGTACCAGTGGCCTGATGATACTCCATCACACAGTTGTTGTTGAGGATTTCTCCACTGCTTTCACTGTTCAAACAAAAATATTAATTATAAAAGCATCAACTTAAAAAGGTCAGCTCAAGACACCTTACAAATACTGGAAACAACTTCATTTCAAGGTCATTTCATGTTCAAATCCAATTTAATGTAATGCTTAATTTAAGCTCAATTCAATAAATTTCATGTTCAAATCAAATCAGTTGAATTCTTATTCAAAGTTAACATAATTAAAATTCAAGGTTTGTCTTAACAGAGCAGAGCAACAGTTAAGTAAGTAAAGTTTTATTTATATAGCGCCTTTCACAGAAATAAATTCACAAGGTGCTGTTGATTCAGGGAAGGGGGCAGTTAAGAAACACCCATGCAAGGAGACATACAAGACAAACATGGGGGAACAGGTGGAACAGGTCATGCAGCAAACACAGTTGTGTTACCTTTAACAACAGCTTGAAATACACAAAAGGAAAATTGAGTTAAACAACCTGTGAGAGAGCAAGACAGCCTGTGTGTGTGTGTGTGTGTGTGTGTGTGTGTGTGTGTGTGTGTGTGTGTGTGTGTGTGTGT